GACATTTATGGTTTGATTTCTTTGTATGTATGGATCACTTGGGTTGTTACCGACATCTGGTGAAAATTTCATGTCATTGGCACCTCTAGTAATATGTATACTGAGAAAAATGATGACGTGTTCAATACTTATTTTACTCCTGTTTGTAAGAAAGAAAAGAAAAATAAAAAACATGAAAAGAAAAAGCAATAAAGGTTTGACTCTGTCTTGAACACAAAAAAATGTTTTTCTCTGCTGCAGAGGGAACGGAGAGGACCAATAAAACCCGCCGCCGCTCACGCCGCCCCCCGCCTTCCTCTGACACGCCCCCCTCCAGGTGTTTTCTCCGTCTATGAGGTCGTCCGCCGCCGGCTGTCGGTGGGGTCCGCTCTCAAGTCGTGCCGCAGCCATGGCCCAACGGAGCGCTGAGCTGTCCCATTGCTAGGCCACGGGGCGTCTGGAGACAGGCAGGAGACATGTTGGGACGGAGGCCCGGGGACCACTGCACTGAGTTCTGTTACTATAGCCACTACTGTAGTAACCATGGAGACGCTGTGGAGGACTGCGCTGGTCTGCACTGTGGTCATGGTTGCCAGCGAGGTCGCAGGAGGTCACAAAAATGAGTTTGGGACGTCACAAGGTGAGAGGAGAACAAGTGAAATCTCAAACTGGACAAGATGTATTTTTATTGTGAATGACGAGCGACAAAGCTCTCTGAAAATCAAAGTTTTTTAAAATTAAATAAACAAAACAACAAACAATACGAAACATGACATTCCTCGTCTCGTTGCTACTGCTGAGCACTGCTAACAAGCACAAACTGAGCTCTATGTGGTGTTTTGTGCACAGAAACAGTGTTCTCTTATAAACACTAGGGCTGAGTATCATGGYCAATTCTAGATCGATTCAATTTTGATTCATAAGTTTCTGAATCGATTAATCATGATTCGATTCATATCAGTTCGATTCGATTTGATCTGCTCTTAAATAATGAAAATGGTTCAACCGTGTTGCAAAAATACAATATCGCTATTTTTTCTCTTCAACATAAGGACAAACTTTTAAATTAAACAGTTTAATCTTGAAGGAAAACTGTCATAAAGGTTTTAAATTAAAAAGGAATCGCAGCTGACAGTGTTGCTGGAGGAATTCTTTTTGAAGAAGTTAATAATTTTCTTGATAAATAAGAAGTGATGGGAATAAGGTTGCAGGAGAAGAGGTGGGCTGATATAAATATACTTCTGCCCACTCCTTTTGAGTGTATGATAATTGTTTATTTGTAATGTTTCTGTTAGCTTCTGTTACGTTCAGTAGAACTTGTTAAAACTTATTACGTATTAAAACAAATAATACAACTACAACATTTCATTACCGGGAATTTTATTAAGACGTTTTTTAAAGTTTAAAAATAGTAATATTGGTAACAAAGCTAAACGATTTTGTTAGAATGTCATCTTTAACACGTTTAAACATGCTGTGAGAACAGTTTCAGTCAGATGTTGACATATTGTTGTTTGGTTCGAACACCAAATGAGCCACTCGTCGAAGCTTGCTTTGTTTCCCGCTACCACGTAGGAGCGCAAATTTTTGCAAAGAAAAGTCACCATGGTYTCTGTTGTCTTTAATTTCTGCTGAGAATTGGCTGATAATGTTTCTTTTKTTTTGATCCAGACACTTGCTATTAAAAGCTAATGTTAGCACTGCACGTCAACTGGATGTAAACATACGGCAAGCCAGGAGTGACAAAATATAGAAACGCATTTCAGACGCGCGCACAAGACGCCATGGGGAAGAACTGATCTCATGTTCTGTGAATTGATTTTCCCAAATTTAAATGAAATCGATCAAAGACAACATTTTTTACCCAGCCTTAATAAACACTGAAGTAGCAGCGAARTGGAGGTTTTACACTGCAATTTTTGCCAGTTGCTGGCTACCTTTGAAACACGTGCACCTCCACCTAGTGGTGGGATGCCATCATKTCAGGGTGAAAATAATTGACCTTCATTATGGAAGGTGTAGTTTATGGTCAATACTGGCTTTAAAGCAGCATACACTTTTTTAAAATACATTCTTTAAAGCTCTCATGGGCCACTTAAAATGCGGTGGCAGGCCACATTTGGCCCGCGGGCCTAGACTTTGATACTTGTGTTCTACGACGTCAGGCAGGTTGTTTCATCCTGAACAGATCATTAAAACACAACCTGTTCATTTCTACTGCTAAAGGCCCTGTCACTCTAGTCAACTTGTGCCAACTTTTGAATCATTTTTATGTCTAATTTGCTAATAAAAGTTATATATTGGATCAATTTGTTAGAATTACAGTATGTACATGCCTAAAAGAAGCTTCCAGTTCATTTTTTTCAGTTCCATCTTCAAAGTAGATGTCTTTAAAATTTTCATAAGATGGCATAAGTTGTCTAAAACGTCATAGAGTGACAGGGCCTTCACATACAGCTTTTAAAACTTGAAACACAAATGGAGACAAATGTTGCAACAAAATAGCCTCAAAGAAGTTTACTGAGTAGGTTTTACAAAATAAAAGCCTCTCAACAGAAAACAAGGCGAATGAATGGGAGGCGCACTTTTCCATCCAGAAAACTTCTTCCATTATTTTCATTTAATGATAACAGAACCGGAGGAGCAAAGGTTTACCAGGACAAACCCTGCTGGATGTTGGTCAGGGTGTTTTCTCCTGTTAAATTTAGCAAACCTAATTACGCTGCTCTTTGTTTTCAGCTCGATCGGATAGTTCMTATTTTTAACTAATGAATTTGTTGGTGATTTTTTTTTGTGTTATATGAGATGATTTACTGTACTTTGTAACCCCGATTTCTTACATTTTTCTTAATTTTAAGATTCAGACTTGGTTGTCTGACTTTCTGAGCATCTTTTAAAGTGTTTTTTAGACTTTCATTGCTTTTCCACTCGTTTTCTGCCCGGTTTTCTGTGACCATGTCACCATGTTGTGCAGTGTAAAAATGAGCTAAGTATACAAGCAAGTTACAAAAAAACCAAAGAGGTTAAGGCTTAGAAGATGAATTGTATCTCAAAGTTTTTATGAAACAGGAAGGAATTCAGCAAATATCAGACATAGGAGATACAGTCCATCATGCTTCAGTTTATCATTTACAAGTTATCAACAAACAGCTCAATGAAAATGTTCTGTTTGTGCCAAAATACTTCTTTCTGTCTGTCAGACTGTGATAACGTTTTAGCTATTTTAAAATTACTATTTCATATCAAACAACTCGGAGCAACATCCAGGATGTTTTGTGGCCATGTGGACAACTCTATATGGGAGGTAAAGAAAGCTGTTGGGAAACCTGCAAAGCTTTTAAAAAGCCGGTTGCTCTCAGAGTTCTCACTCCAACAGTAGACTAATTTGTTTAGCTGGCTCTCATTATTCTGTGTGAGGTCTTGTTAATTTCACAAAACATCCTCTTTTTTTCTCTCTCCAGGAGCTTTTCCTGTGCTTAAGTAGTAAAGTTGATACTTGCCTGATTGCTTGTTGCGGTTTATGAGAACAGGATGGATGCGTTTCCTTTAGGGAGGTAACGGCTTCGCACAGGTTTTTGGACCATAGCGTTTGGAAATGTTGGGTAACTCGGTCAAAATGAAAGTTAAAAAAGACGATGTTAAGCTAATTATCAAGGTTATAATAATTATAATGAATGATTGAATGAATTTATTTGTTCGGGACAGTGTGCAATTAAAACATAATTTGATGCATTACACCAGATTTAGCCTAAGGCTAATTTACATCTGCAGTCCCTTCAAACAGTACAAACAAAACAACATCCAACAGTAAATAGAAATAAGAGAGGAAAAAATGAACAAACAAACAAAAAACAGAAAATATAAATAATATAAAATAAAACATTTTGCATAATAG